ATTAATCACACACGCGGAAAGTTAAATGAGGTTGAAGTGAAGTGAAATGTGTTGGTGATGATGTATGTGTGAGGGTGGCCAAGCTGACCTAATAACTCACACGAGGTACTTACTTTCCTGTCGCTAACTACCGTGCAGTTTGTTTTAAGAGTCCGAACTATACAGGACAGCTGTTGTGTGAGAGTCCAGACTAAAAGGACTGTTGTGTGAGAGTCCAAACTATACAGGACTGTTGTGTGAAGGTCCGGACTATACAGTACTGTCGTATGAGAGTCCGGGAAGAGGACTTGAAAATACCATCTTCCCATCTGTGCTTGAGTCCGTCCCACCAGTAGTTGGATAAAGGTAATAAAATGGCGGCGAAGGTGTGGCTATTGGGGGAGGCTGGAGGCCAAATTAAAAAAAAAAAGTTGGTACACACGGTATCTTAACAAAACGCGATGGAGTCCTGAGTAAACCGGTTAGTGTTCCCGTGACAAGACCTCGGAATAGTTTGGTAGTCCGTGTCATCGTGGCCAGAATTATGACACCTTCGACTTGGCTGTATACTGAGGCGGGGAACTTGACAACCTTTTCTGCCAATCATGTTCTGTCTGGAGGTCCAACTCGAAGGTTATGACTATTTCACTGTCTTCTGTCACAGCTTCTCAGTCTCTGAGGAGTTTTGACAGTTAATGCGTGACTCGGCAACACAAATCAAAGAAATTTTTATTTTAAACAAGACTGGCCATAAATTACTCGTAAGCTGCTTTAGTCAGGAGGGCATGGTAGGTAAAGGCCAGGCGGTACAGTGTGGAATCCATGGTTTAATCAGGTCGGGGGTGAGCGGAAGAAAAATTATCATATTGGGTCAGTTAGTTAGTCAATTAATTAAAAAATGGCAACGTGAGAGATAGAAATGCTGTCTGGGATGACGTCACTTAATTATGCCCCAAAACACACAAATAAAGTTTAAAAAGTTGTAAGTTTCAAGCAATTGTAGTGAAGATTTAGCATTTAAACATGTCCTGAGTAACAATGAAAATTTGTGAGAGTAAAGCAGCGCTGAGAGTGATGTAGTGTTCTCAGAGGACCGGGATAATCTCAGCGCTCGCCTCCACCACTGAGCTAACACACACATTACAACTTTCCTCATTTTTTTCATTCCTTTTAACTTATTTTACGACAACTCCCTAGTCAGCGAGCACAATAAGGTAATTGGGCTGTTAGCAACGCAATTGGGTTGTTAGCGACGACGACCTCTACAAGCGGTAATTTCCAGGTATTAAAGAGTTTTATGGATTTTCCAAAATTACTTTCCCTGTGAGAGGCTGACTGTCGTAAAATCCAAATTGAAACTCAAGCAAACTTGTGAGAGAGTGAGGGAATTTTTGGATTAATTCCCAGGGGATTAACCTCCGGATTTTCAAAGGTTCGTAAGGTACTTTCTTCTTCTTTTATGTGAGGGTACGACGCCTCTAGTTACGATGGTGTCTTAGTATTATATTAACGTCATTTGGGATAAGAGAGAATATCTAGTTACGGAACAACCTCAGTGAAATTTTAATGGTAGTTTAAAATGAGGGAAATTTGTACTGGTGCCACGTCATCGTATACACAACAGTTGAGTCTCGGTGTAAGTTTAACGCCATTTTGAATAAACAGATACAACTAGCAATGGTGGTCTCAGTACCTTAACTACCACCATGGCGGACATTATGCTTGATGACTTCAGAGAACCAGTTAAGATGCATTCTTGAATCTTCAGTCAAGGGAAAACTTAACTTACGAACCAGTGAGATAATTGGACTTCAGTAGCTGTAATTATAATCACATTAAATATATATGAAGTTAATGTTTAAATAGCCCTAACTGTACATTTAGTGTCATTAACCTGTCCACTCTAATAACTGGCTGAAGATCTAAGTCCAGTTTGTCAAAAATTTTTACGTAAAGCTTTCCTCGTAACTGGATATGTTAAGCACATCTCTCACTGGTTGGCTTTAGTTACAGTATGGAAATTACGTCCACTGTGGCCTCTAAAATAAACAGAGACTCTATCGGTAAGCGGAGGCGATGATGTGGCAGAAATAAGGAGAAAAATACAACGTTAAGACTCTTTGTGCATCAGAGTTTGTTCACACAGACCCGACCACTTGGCCACAACACACAGCAGTAAATAAACATTGTCAACAAAGGCACAAGTTGACTCTCGACAGTAAGAGAGGAAGACTTGGACACACGAAGAGAGAAATACTAATAGTACACAATAATAGACAACATTTAATAAAGTACCGAGACAAGAAAGTAACAAAAGACTGAAATAAAGTAAAGAATCACGACAAAGTAAATATTTCAAGAGTAATGGTAGAGTAAGTTATAATTTGGCTCTACACACAATTTAACTTAGTGCTTCTCTTAATGCTTTGCGCAACAGTTAAAAACACTCATTATATAGATATATCACGTTCTGTATAATATATAAACATTGACTTTTATATATAAATCATTTTTCAACAACGACATATAGCGATACACAACACACCTAACACACATAAGGACATACAGTACATTACGTCACAAACAACTGATTATAAACACAACAGACGGACACATCATCAGCGGTTAGGTTAGGTTAGGTTGTTAGATTAGATTCAGTTAGATTAAGTCAGGTTTTTAGGATAGGTTAGATTAGATGAAATTAGGCTAGAATATTCGACCAGGTTAAATTAGAATATGGTTAAGTTAGATCAAGTTAAGTAAGGTTAGGGATAGGTTAATGTCAATTTAAGTCAGGTTAAGTTAGTTTAATTTAGGTTAGGTGGCTAAGATAGGTCACTTTAGGTTATACTACGTCACTTTAAGGTAGGTTGGGTCACTCTATCCTAGTGTTAGTTATTTTGAGTTAGGTTAAGGCAATTCAAGTTAAATTATATCGATTGTAAGTTAGGCTCATATTAAGTTAGGTTAAGTTACTTTAAGTTAGATTATTCCACTCCTTAGGTTAGATTAAGTCACTTTTAAGTTAATTCACCTCACTCTAGGTTAGGTTTGGTTAGGTTAGGTTAGGTTACAGCGAGTAATCCATCTTATTTCTGTATCAACACGCTCCAAAAATACAGTTAAATTATATATTATGAAACATCACTTCACCCACACATTAAAAACTCCGCTGGGAGCCTGAACCTGACAGCAGCTCGTCTCTGGGAACACACGATTCAACCCTCGAGTAGAAACATCAACAACTGGTGGGCGATATGACAAGAGTGACAGGTGCAATTAACTGGAGCCAGCCGGTCATTCAGTCAGTCAGATGTTTACTCCCCCGATGACTGTTCTTTCGTCTTCTATCTGTCAGAGTATAATCTTTGCGTGTGTCTGATTTTCAAGTTCTGATTGTCGGTGGCTCATATTTTGTCTATTATGTCAGCATTTTGTTTGTCATGCATTATAGAAGTTGTCAGGGTATAATCTCTCTCTCTCTCTCTCTCTCTCTCTCTCTCTCTCTCTCTCTCTCTCTCTCTCTCTCTCTCTCTCTCTCTCTCTCACTATTATTTAATATTCTTACTTATCTAAACCTATTGTCTATTACATTAATCATCTGACTCAACACTGTGATCTATTTCTGTCATAATAGTTGCTTAATTCATCTATCTATCTCACTTATCTATCACATGAGATTATTTTATTGCCTATATTCATCTTATTATCTGCACTAATTAATATAATAGAGTTCCTCATTCCCTAACGCAACTGTGCCTACTCCTAATTAACCTAACTTAAGTTAATAAACACTTAATATAACCTGATCAAACTTAATCTAAAATAAATAAACCCAATTTAACCTCCTTAACTTACTCTAACTTCACCTATCTTAACCTAATCTAACGTAGCCTTCAACCTAACCTAACCTAACCTAACCTAACCTAACCTAACCTACCCGGTCAGACAACTCCTACACACCTGGCTAAGACCACACTATCAACACCGCCTGGCGTTTCCTTACTCCCAACAATGACACTTTATGAAAGATACGCCAGACGAACCTTCCCCCCCCCCCACCCACATCAATGACACGAGCATGGAAGCTAACGGACGCCAGACGAACTTTTTTACCTGCATTCCATTCAGACGAACGAGTCAACCATTACGAATTCTACGCCAGACAAACCAGTGCCTGCTTCACCTCCCACCCATCACTGACGCGGTTATGGGAGCTACGCCAGTCAAACATTCGCTCGCCTTCTGCTCGCGTTGGCGCTCTTTTATGGTAACGATCATGAAGGCTGATGGCATATAAGGAGACGTGGAGGGGTGAGGAGCTGCTTACACCCAGGAGGAGAAGAGACAAAACAGCTGGTGGGTAGCGAGGCCAGGTGACTGTCGCCCAAACCCACCAACAGGTAAAACACAGCTGTCCCTAATACCTCACAAAACCTCATGGTACCAACAGTCACACCTCTCATGGCATCAACACACCTCTCATGGTATCAACACACCTCTCATGGCATCAACACACCTCTCATGGTATCAAGTCACACCTCTCATGGTATCAACAAACCTCTCTCATGGTATCCAAGTCACACCTCATGGTATCAACACACCTCTCTCTCATGGTACCAACAGTCACACCTCTCATGGCATCAACACACCTCTCATGGTATCAACACACCTCTCATGGCATCAACACACCTCTCATGGTATCAAGTCACACCTCTCATGGTATCAACAAACCTCTCTCATGGTATCAACAGTCACACCTCTCATGGCATCAACACACCTCTCATGGTATCAACAAACCTCTTTCATGGTATCAACAGTCACATTTCTCATGGTATCAAGTCACACCTCTCATGGTATCAACAGTCACACCTCTCATGGTATCAACAGTCACACCTCTTATGGTATTAACACACCTCTCATGGTATCAACACACCTCTCATGGTATCAACACACCTCTCATGGTATCAACACACCTCTCATGGTATCAACACACCTCTCATGGTATCAACACACCTCTCATGGTATCAACAGCCACATCTCCCATGGTATCAAAAGTCTCATCAAACACAGAGAAGCACAAGGCCAGTGTTTTGGGTAAGTAAGCAGGGATATCGTGACGTTCTGTAGCGACACACTGAGAGCTTATAGAGACTGTGCTGTTAGGTGGTGGGAGCAGTGAAAGTAACTCTCCATTATACATACACCAACATATACAGACTTGTCTTTTATCTTTGGGGATGTAGTGCACAGGTGAGTGTTTGTGTGTGTCTCTGTTTACACTCCACAGTATATACCAACACACTGCTTCCTATTGCCAGCTGACATTCTGTTTTTTTCACCCCCCTCCCCCCCCCAAATGGCAGCTAGCGACTTCTCATTTGTGTGTGTGTTTGTTGTGTGTGTGTGTTTGTTGTGTGTGTGTGTGTGTGTGTGTGTGTGTGTGTGTGTGTTCTATTCCAGTAACTTGATCCAGGAGCAAGTTATTACATTCCTCTCTGATGTATCATTTGCCTTTATTACCATCCCATGATAAGAAAAATATATCGTATTTAACCTCTCTCTAAACAATATCAAATATCAGGGAAACATTAAACTGAAATAAAAAAAATATATATATATATGGACACAAATACATACACGTTCATCCTCTGTAAAAAAAAAATCCTTCAAGTAAATATAATATAAATGACCATACAAGGCCCTGATCATCCTGGGAAAAGAAGAAAAAAAAATCCGTCAGGTGGATGTGAGTTGCGGTAGTGTGTTGGATCATGGGACGGCAAAAACCACAAGAGTGAAGGAGCTGAACGGATTAACCAATGTGTGGATGATTTACCTGTTCCGCCCAGGTGATTTTTTTATAAGTTAATTGTCATTTTGATGGCCCGATGATGTTTCCGATTAGTTTACATCTGTCACTGTTAGGTTAGGGGGGGGGGAGAAGGGAGGAGGGGATAGGTGGAGGTGGAGAGGAGGGATTGGATGGAGATAAATTATAATCTAAAGTGGGTGGAGTTGGAAGGTGGAAGGGGAAAGGGAGGGAGAATGGGATGGTAGAGGGAGGTGGGTGGGGTTGGACGGTGGGGGAGGGTCAACTTTAAGTATTCAAAGGGTTAAGTCATGGGACTCAAGGGGTTAATCCCTCATACGTAAGGGGTTAATCCATCATACTTAAGGGGATAAATGATTATATAATGCACTACCAGATAACACGCTTATCAAATTACTAAAGCAAATAACAACGAACAGAAGGAGACGCGTACCCTGCTAACGTACAGAAGGATGACGCGTACCCTGCTAACGTACAGAAGGAGACACGTACCCTGCTAACGTACAGAAGGATGACACGTACCCTGCTAACGTACAGAAGGATGACGCGTACCCTGCTAACGTACAGAAGGAGACACGTACCGCTAACGTACAGAAGGATGGACACGTACCCTGCTAACGTACAGAAGGGTGACACGCACTTCAAGCACGGCAGAAGGATGACACGTACCGCTAACGAACAGAAGGATGACGCGTACCCCTGCTAACGTACAGAAGCGGGTGACGCGTACCCTGCTAACGCATAGAAGGATGACGCGTACCCCAACGTACAGAAGGATGACACGTACCCTGCTAACGTACAGAAGGGTGACACGCACCCGCTAACGAACAGAAGGATGACGCGTACCCTGCTAACGTACAGAAGGGTGACGCGCACCTGCTAACGTACAGAAGCGATGACGCGCATCCCGTTAGCGTACAGAAGGATGACGCGTACCCTGCTAACGTACAGAAGGATGACATGTACCCTGCTAACGTACAGAAGGATGACACGTACCCTGCTAACGTACAGAAGGATGACATGTACCCTGCTAACGTACAGAAGGATGACACGTACCCTGCTAACGTACAGAAGGATGACACGTACCCTGCTAACGTACAGAAGGATGACACGTACCCTGCTAACGTACAGAAGGATGACACTTATCCTGCTAACGTACAGAAGGATGACACGTACCCTGCTAACGTACAGAAGGATGACACGTACCCTGCTAACGTACAGAAGGATGACACGTATCCTGCTAACGTACAGAAGGATGACACTTATCCTGCTAACATACAGAAGGATGACACGTATCCTGCTAACGTACAGAAGGATGACACGTATCCTGCTAACGTACAGAAGCTGACATGCACCCTGCTAACGTACAGCGATGACATGTACCCCTGCTAACATACAGAAGGATGAGATATGTACCGCTAACGTACAGAAGGATGACACGTACCCTGCTAACGTACAGAAGGATGACACGTACCCCGCGTAACGTACAGAAGGATGACACGTACCCTGCTAACGTACAGAAGGATGAGATGCACCCCTGCTAACGTACAGAAGGAGACACGTACCCTGCTAACGTACAGAAGGAGACACGTACCCTGCTAACGTACAGAAGGATGACATGTACCCTGCTAACGTACAGAAGGATGACATGTACCCTGCTAACGTACAGAAGGATGACACGTACCCTGCTAACGTACAGAAGGATGACATGTACCCTGCTAACGTACAGAAGGATGACACGTACCCTGCTAACGTACAGAAGGATGACACGTACCCTGCTAACGTACAGAAGGATGACACGTATCCTGCTAACGTACAGAAGGATGACACTTATCCTGCTAACATACAGAAGGATGACACGTATCCTGCTAACGTACAGAAGGATGACACGTATCCTGCTAACGTACAGAAGGATGACACTTATCCTGCTAACATACAGAAGGATGACACGTATCCTGCTAACGTACAGAAGGATGACACGTATCCTGCTAACGTACAGAAGGATGACACGTACCCTGCTAACGTACAGAAGGATGACACTTACCCTGCTAACGAACGAACGTATTGCCCGTGTCGTGTGAATGGTTGAACAGCAGCCTATAACAGTAACATCAGCATGCACTTGCCTCATTGTAAAGAACTGACAATAAAACTAACGAGTGTAAACAAATGATCGATTCTCTTATTTTTATAGTCTCCCCTGTAGAAAACGGGAAGAGAAAAGAGGAGGGGAAACTCTCAGAAAAAACTAATCTTGTATTGAACAGCAGAAAAGTGACCCCTGATCTTTCACCTTTAAATAACTGAACCAATTAGTTAATTATCTGTCCTAATTAATTTTCTAAACAATAGCGACACTGATGCCAGTTCGCAAATGGACCCCAATTAGGTTTGGTAAAGTTGGTTAGGTTATGTTAGGATAGGTTAGGTTGGTTAAAGTTGATTGAGTAGATTAAGTTAGGTTCATTTTAGTTTGAATTGGTTAACTTAGGTTCAGTTAGGTTAGGTTATATAAGTTAGGTCAGGGAAGGCCAGAAAAGGTGTTAGCATAGGTTGGATTAGATTAGGTTACATTAAGTTAGGTTAATTAATTTATGTTATGTTAGGCTACATTACATTACATTACTTTAGAATGAATAAGGTTAGGTTAGGTTAGGTTAGGTTAGGTTCGAGCGAATTAGCACTGGCTTCCATTTATAAAACTTGCAACCTAATTAAACAGCCAGACAAATTACCAGTCACCAGCAGTTAACACTAATCATCATAACTCCTACTCAACACCATTAAACCATGAACCAAACTATGCAAAATTACCCCCCCTCCCCCAAAAAAAAATTATCCTAAAAAAAGAAAATACACCAAACTCAGTCAAACAAACTTTTAGGACACCCAGTATATCCTGGCGAAAATAACTCTCACAATACCCAAAGTTTGTTTAATTTGTACACGTAAGAGGATTGTTGAAGGCTTACCAATTATCTGCATCTAAAAAAAATAAAATAAAAAAAAATAGTTGTAAGATAGACCAATGATCCAATCAGAAAGTTAATCAAGGTGATGCACTAATTTGGGTCCCTGGGCCGAGTAGTATTATGTTGCTGTGTATGTATCGAGACTAAAGGGGGGAGGGGGTTAAACTCTCTAATAAACAAAAACAACTAGGTTCATACGACACTATTATTTTCTCAACCAGCAAAGACAAACACACACACACAGAAACAGACACACAGACAAGCACACTGAACACCTATACATGCATACATACACACATACATACATACACACATACATGCTAAAAAAATTGATTGACAGACACAAAACATATACATGCAAAGACAAACACACACACACACACACACACACACACACACACACACACACACATACACAGAGGCAGATAAACAGACAGAAAGGCATACAAAGACATAAAGACAGACAGACAGACAGACAGACAGTTTTTTTCAATTACCTGAACTCCACTAACACGATACAGGTAATTCATCCACTACTCGACCCCGATTTATCAAGTAATATTGGCCTCATCCATTAGTCAACCCGGAAATAAATATGATTGACTATTAAATTTACATATGACTCAGTGATTAAAACCTGATCTATACGTGACTTATATTTGGCAATGAAGATACTCAGTGACTCAAAACCCTGATTTATCGATGACTAATACTTGAATATCGTGTGACGGATCTCTAGTGACTAAACTATGACTCAGCTCTGCTAGGTAAAATACCTCACTACCTATACAGGACTCTCTCTCTCTCTCTCTCTCTCTCACCTGACTCATGAATCACACCTGACTAGTGCCTCACACCTGACTTTAGAGACTCACACCTGACTCTCGAGACTCACACTTGAATCTAGTGACTCACGCCTGACTTTCTTGACTCCCATCCGACTCATGACTCACACCTGACTCGTCACTCACACCTGACTCACGTGACTCACCCCTTACTCTCAATCACTGAACCAACCAAGATCTTCCCCCTGACTCCACACACCTGACTCACGTGACTCACACCTGCTGAGTCAATAGCGGCTCCTGGCAGGTGTTCGCGATGCATCTAACATAAAGGTCAACACGATACCTGGAATTACGACTCTCACTGAGGTAAACATATCTTCCTTACCGCTGATGAAGGAAGAGGAGGGAGGAGAGAAAAAGGAGGGAGAGGAGGAGCAAGAGGAGAAGGAGAAGGAACAAGAGGAATAGGGGGGGGTAAATGAGGGAGGTGGAGGAGGAAGAGGAGAAGGAGGATGGGGGGTAAGAAAGTGAGAGTAGAAGGGGAGGAAGCGGAGGAGGAAAAGGAGAAAGAAGAGAAGGAATGGGAAGAGGAAAAGAAGGAGAAAGAGAAGAGGAAGATGAAGGGGGTGGAAGTGTAAGAGCAGGAGGAAGAGGAGAAGGAGGAGCCGGATAGGGGTAGGGAGGTAGAGATGAGAGTAGAAGAAAGGAGGAGGAGAATAAAGGAAGAGAAGGAGGCAAACCAAGAATTATGAAGTACCACCATCACCACAACCACCATCACCACTACCACCACCATTACCACAACCACCATCACTACCACAACCACCATCATTACCACTACCACAACTACCATCACAACCACTATCAC